TCAGGAAGACATTAAACTGAGTATAACACAGAACTGCTGCTTTACAAATATTTCCATCCAACTCCATACTTGGGGATAGAAGTTAATCTCCCCAACAAACAGAAACAAGGAACTTTTCTCTTTTGGGATAAAGAGCCCTACCAAGCTGCCAGTATCGACAAAGAGAATCCTTTGTGCCAAAGAATCTTCACATGCACTAGAAAAGCAGTGAATGAATGAAAAAAAAAACCCACCTTTTTTTTGACAGCTTTGATGAAACCTGCAACCGTTATCAAAAGAATAAGGACTAACACCAGAAAAGTTTATATCACTACAGAAATTAAATTCAAAAGCAATTTATTGTTACGAACAAATTCCAGAGGGTTAATGACTATCATCAGACCAGTAAGAAACAGCCACTAAGATTTAAAACAAAAAAAACAATACAGAACACTAAAACCCTCCACTCTTCCAACAAAGAACATCATGGAGTGGTTTAAAAAGCAGAAATAAGCTACTACTTCTTTTGGCACCAGGAACAGCCACATACAGCTTTAATGTTTGAAAACGAATCCCATATTAGTCTTACCTAACATCTGCTCTGCAAATTATTGCCTTAAGTGGTGATTATTGGCTTAAGCAGTAAATACTGAAAGTTTTTCTCAGTGTAACATGTTTGCAGCAGATTTTGTGGTGTCAGTCCAGAAATACTGATATACATACGGTAAATGCAGAGAACATACAGTTCCACCTCTATTTTAATACAATGATCAAATGAGAAAACAAAATTCATGCATCGGGAATTCACCTCTGGCAACTTATCTCCTTGTACACATAAATCAGTAAGAGAGAAAATGTCACAGATAAGTTCCTCCAACATACTGAGAGAGGTCTAAAACTACTGTACAGTACAGCCCATTTGACAACAGATAATCAGAAGACACCAATCACTGTGAAAACAAATGCTAAGTAAGGCGGAAAATGAATAAATTAGTAGAAGTACAAATTAAGTATAGAGAATAGCTGTCCATAATATTCTATTGATTTCAGTGCTCTGTTCCAGGACATAAAAAGCACTAATCAAAGGAAAGAATGAGTAAACTACAACCCTGCAATTTCCTGCTTTAAGGGCCCTAATATGCAGTATCTCAAGAGACAGGAATATACCATTAGTTACATAAAGCCATCTAACCACTAAGGGAGAAAAAAGTTTATTATATCTCTCCACTGCTGATGATTAAATGAAAATATATGATGGAATAGTGAGACTTAACATATATTACAACCCCATCGCAGATTCAAATCATCTCTCTGTTGACTGTTCCTTCAAGAAGTAGGTAAGACAAATTCAGAAGTGAGGAGGATAATACAGCTTAAACGGAAAGCTGAGAGCAAACACACAGCAATGAGTGTTCAACATTGCTTCTACTCAGACTTAAGGCATCCTTTCATTAACACAATTAAACAGTCACTTTGTTACTGTGAAGTACAATGCATTTTAGGCAGGGCACTGTATGTGGTCAAGGTGATGCTCTCAAGTTAAGAAAACATTCATAACTTCTATCTTTCAGACATATGCCATACATAAATCTGCCATATATAAAAGATGCATTCAACTGCCTGAAATTCACCTAAACTATTACTGACATGTAACTTGGATTCCCTGACACCACAAGAGCTTTTTTTTTTTTTTGAAAGTATCAACCTCCACACTGTACCCAAAACTACCGCTGCCCGAACTCCTTGGCTGCTCTAATCAGAGGGGGAAAAAGCAACGTCTGTGGAAATGTATAAGCAAGTTAGAAAGAGACAGTTAAAAGTATTGTTTCGGATTCTTTCACTTTAGGTTTATTTTTAAATATTTTAATATATTAAATACTAGAGAAAAGCATAATTGTTATAAAATGGGAAGTCAGCTTTGATACTCAGCTAGGAAAAGAAAAATAAAACCATTTAATTGAGTATGAAAAGATTATTATATTTGCAGAACATCATCTCAGGAGCTGCTTTTTGTGGTGACAGCAACAGCCCAGCCTCAGCAAACACCCAAGCCAATGCCCAAGCCTCAGACTTACATGAAGAACTTTTGCATCTCTCTGACAGAGCAAAAATAGCATTCAGCATGATGCTAGAGAGCAAACTTTGTGAGACCAGTCCTGTCAACTTCTTAAGACCCAAAGCCTTAAATAGTTGCATGATCATATCTCAGTGAAAGTATTTATGTTTTATGATCCTCAAAATGGAACCAGCAAAGAAAGAAAAAAAACAACCACATAAAACTAGACAACACAGACTGAGTCAGTAAATTCTGAATCATGTAAACTATTTTAAGTCTATAAAGAAAATCATAAAATTAAAAAAAGTAACTACAATTTAGGAAATGCTCTCAATTGCTGTAAACTAACATATTTGCACAAAATTCCCTAGACCCATGCAAAGAGGATGAGTTTTATTTTCAAAAACATAAAATGTTTCCTTAGCCACTGAATAAACATACCTGTTTCCACTTCTTAAACATTTTTATTTTCTTGTACCTTAGAAATTCTTTTACCCTAGAATCATTAGTTGTTAAGAAACCTCTGTAAAATAAAACATATGAAAAGTTACTTGTGTGATAACTGACTATATCTTTCAGTTATTGCCACTTTTCTTACTAGCATTTAACTCCTCATTGCAGAAAAGCATGAGCTAGTACTAGGAATATAGCCACCAGGCAGCAGTTCAATACTAACACAATATTTTTTGACATCAGCTAGGGCAAAGGAGTGGAGCCAGGTCTGGCATTGCTACTTCTCCTACTAACTATGATGACTGCACAAAGACTTCACAAGAAGTTGTTTAAGAACTAAAGGACTGTTACAGACAAGTCCCTGGTCAGAGGTGGGCAAGGTCAGAGATGGAGATCAGAACTGAAGCAGCAGCTATGTAATGTAAGCCATCCAAATGTTTAACTTCTACATTCTCTTGTCTTTATTGTCATTGATCATTAAAAAAACATTAAAACCATAACTACAGGAGACTCAGAGATGCTACCCTGATTCGAGTATTACCCACACCTAAGTCAGCCCTTATTTTAGCACAATTAACCTGAACAAGCTCTACTATGGCACACAGACTTCTGTACATCCTAGCACAGAATAGAGCAGAATGTGTTTATTAAAAGCCTAAGGGCACATCTAATATAATAGCCACAAGTTCTTTCTGGCCATACTCTTGTTCAGAGTAATTTTATACCTGCTGAAGATAATGAAGATATTTCCTGACTTAAGGGGATCAGATTACATCTAAAATTTTTTAAAACAAATTCTTCTAGTTTCTTTTTAAATGGATTACCCAATATTCTCCCAAAAACCACAATGAAATATTCACAAGTAGATTGTTCTTTAGCTGCTTCAACAAATCTGACCTAATGAATGACTATTTGCCTAAATAAGCTAGAAAAGTTTTTTTCTTCTTTTTCAATTATCCAAAGGCTTACAAGGAGACCCAAAAACAAAACATAAAGCATACATCCCTACAGAAAAACTGTAAGAGGATAAGATAAAGAGGACACAAATGGTGGCAGGAGTTTTTTTCACCAAGGCACAAACTAGTTATTATCTTCATTTTTTCATAGCTCTAACATTATAACATTAGAATAAGAATAATAATAGTTTTCACAGTTAAGAGAATAAGGGCTCCAAAAATGTTCAGCAGTGCCACTAAGTTACACATCCACAGTTAAAATACCTACACACATAACACAGACCTTCTGATTTCAACTAGAAACCTTGACAAACGCTTTCCATTGATGTAAGACAGTTCAGATTTCAATATGCAGATAAACAGAAGATCACAGAATCAAATTAGGTTAGAAAAGTCCTCTGAGATCATTGAGTCCAACCTATGACCAAACACTACCCTGTCAACTAGACCAGGGCACTAAGTGCCACGTCCAGTCTCTCCTTAAACACCTCCACAAATGGTGACACCCTGAGCAGTCCATTCCAACGTCTAATCACCCTTTCTGTGCATGCATTCCTCCTAATGTCCAACCTAAACCTCCCCTGGCACAGCTTGAGGCTATGTCCTCTCATCCTGCTACTGGTGGCCTGGGAGGCCGACCCCCACCTGGCTACAACCTCCTTTCAATGTAGTTGTAGAGAGTGATAAAGTCACCCCTGAACCTCCTCTTCTCCATGGAAGCCCAGCTCCCTCAGCTACTCCCATAAAACTTGTGCTGCAGACCCTTCACCAGCTTCATTGCCCTTCTCTGGACACACTCCAGCACCTCAGTGTCCTTCCTGAATTGAGGGGCCTGGAACTGGACACAGTCCTCGAAGTACGGCCTCACCAGTGCCAAATACAGAGGGACAATCACTTCCCTAGTTCTGCTGGCCATGCCATTTCTGATACAGGGCAGGATGCCATTGACCTTCTTGGCCACCTGGGCACACTGCTGGCTCATGTTCACTGGTTGTTGACCAGCACCCCCAGCTCCTTTTCCACTGGGGACCTTTCCAGCCACTCTGTCACCAGCCTGTAGCGCTGCATGGGGTTATTGTGGCCAAGAAATGTTTTCTAGCAAACATTGCAAACATTTTGAGTAAAGTTCTCTGTCATTCATGGGGAGGCATAAGCCCATAATTGGAGGATTTTTTTTGCTTTTTTTAACTGTTTGCTGTGTTAAACTGGTGCAGAGGTGAACATACAGGGCCAGGCTTTGTGAATCGGTGTAGCTATACTGACATGACACTTTTATACCAGCTGATTGTCTGGTCCTTATGGTTATGAATGACAACAGAGAACTGCCTTTTCATGTCCTTGGTGGCAAGAGACACGTAAAGGGTAACATCTGTTCCCCTTCCCTTAGTTGATTTGGACTTGTGAATTTTTATGAATCTGCACACTATGGCTATCCAAACACTATGAATATTTGCAAATGATGTGCTACACAACAATTTTGCTCTAATTTACTTTCAATTTTTTACTGCATAAATACATATACTTTTATTAGCCAGCATACAGGTATCAGTACTTACCTGTGATCTAAATGATGAATAGAGAGAATAACCCCTGAATTCAAATGGGCTTGTTTTAAGGTCACAAGGATTGTGAATTCATATTTATTTCTTAACTTCTGAAAAAAGACTTCAGCTGTTTCTGGAGATGCTTTAACAATTCTTGAAGTATCTAAAAAAAAAAACAAGAGGAAAAAACACTCACTATAAAATCTTACTTTACTTTATATCCTCATTCAAATAGCTTACAAAATGACAAGCTATTTATGAGAAGCACAATTGAACAGACAGGTAAAAGCAGGGACCAAAGTATTTTAAACATCAGTTTTACATGCAATAGGAGCCATTTCAATCAAAGAGAACACATTTTCTAGGACACTTATTCTATTCTGCAGAAGGGTGGTGTTTTGTTTTGAGCCAGGGTCATAACTCTCTTACTTTCTCCATGGATGCCCACATGGTACCTTTAATATCTCCTCCAAAGTATGAGCTCACTGGCAATGAAGCACAGAGTAACAACATATGAGGCTAAACCACGAAGCACGATGTGAGCAACTTTTTAGTGACTTCTACAAAAATGTGAAATACACAAATAAACAAACTGATTTAAAAGAAAAAAACAAAACAAAGAGCAGACCTCTTTAGGGACAATTTACTCAGCTTTAAGTAATTCTATAGTTATCTTAAAAACTCACCAAATTTCAAAATATATTATTGCTAATTAATCACTATATACTCCAGTTGTGTGGTATTTTGCTGCTGCTTCTTGCACAGAACGTCATGAATCTTTGTTAGAGTAATGACAAACACAAAATATTTTAGTTTTAAAAACTCACACACAGCCAAGACTGAAGCAATATTTCTGCTGAATTTTACATAATATGCATAGAAAATAAAAAGGCCCAAGCTCAAAACCTCTAGAGAGAGAATTTACAAAATAAGATGTCAAATGCTAGAAAAACAATTCCCAAGATTTTCCATAATACATTATATCAGGAAAAAATTAATATACATTTTTAACGCTCAAAATCAATTCATTAGCATGTGTAATCAACCGTGTAAGAACTAAATCAATTCACAGTAATTTGACCATCCTGCTCCATCTGGGGACACTAACTCAGAAAAAACAGTAGAGTTAACTGCAATAGAACTGGTGATCTTCTTTTGGCAGCACTGGAGCTGAGCCCTCAAGTACACCACTCTCAGTGTACACCACTGTTCTTAAAACAGTTTTATTCTTTAAGCTGGACCTATGAAAATGCTGCTCTTCATTAACAGAAAAGAGTCGATTATGTTTTATGGACCAGGAATATTTTTAATATGTATTTAAGAAATGTAACAACCAGTACAACTCTGAAGTCCTAATCAAGCTCCTGCACAGGGTCACACCAGGCTGAATTTCATTCGTTTTTCACATAGGGGAATCCAAAAGACAAAAAAAAATAATCTGATTTCTAAATTTCTACCAAATTCCTATGATATTCTCGTTAGCAACCAATGAAAGAAAGTATATGCATAACACCCCTACCCTTATACAAGGCCAGTTCACACATAAATAACCATCTCCCCCTCCCACATGCACTTTTATTCCAACTGGAGCTACTGGGATGCAAACATTGCACTACAGATGGCCTGTGCTTTAGCAAGGAAACAAATCTTCACCATCACATAGAGCTCTCCAGAGCTGTCCCAGTCCTCATCACTGTGCTGAGAGAGGCAGGGGAAACACAGAGCTGCCTTAGCACCCACAGGAGAGGAATCTTTTTCGAGGTCTATTCATGTCACCATGAATCATTTGATCACTAGGTTGGAGGAGAATTTTCCATCCTCTATTCTATCAGACCTTATCTGGGTACCCTATCATCATTCATTGTGGCCTTAGATAATCTTCTTGTACACAGACAATAGCATCAAGACCTGATTACATCATGTTCAAAGCCTATATATTAAGATTTCTGTCACATTACCTGCTAGAGTATTAAATTGCCAAACCACATGGTCATTCAGTTTTGGTAATGCAAATAGGTCAGTTCATATTTGCTGCTCAAACAAGCTACACAGCCTTTTCAATTATTACTACTCTTACAAAGCACAAAACTCTTTGTTCAGGGTAGGCACCAGGTGGATTTCATAAAAGCAAGGTGACTGAAAGGTCCTTCATCCATCAGATACATTCTTTTTACACTAACATAAGAGTGCAAATCCCTCCTTCCAATTGGCTTCGAACACTAGCAGTAGGTGCTTGATAGATGACCAGCTATGCTCAATAAATAATGCTTCAGGCTTGTTCTTGACATTTGGCTTCTAGTAATCAGTTTAACACCCAAGGAAAAAAATTTACTGGAACTGGATAGCTTGGAAAATAGCTTGGAAAATCAAACTGGTATATCTCAGATAATAATTTGCAGTTTCTCAACAGTTACATAAAAACCTCATACTATGAAGATTTCTAATACACAAATCCAAAGGCATAAATCTCTTTAGAGTGCAGAAATAAGGAGAGAACTATTATTTTGAATGAGAAATTTTTCTCTAGCCATGATATATATATTGGGTTTTACTTTCCTAGAATACTGCCTGTGTTTCGTTTGACCACACCATGACATCTTACAAACCCATAATGTCATCATCCCATCATAAATTTATAGAAGAACGAAGTGACAATGAAAGAAACAAAAATCCAAACTCAAAGCATGTCTCACTCCTCGCTCAAGTTAGAGGTCTTTTAAGATCTAACACTGCAAAGCAATCTGAAAGCCCAGTGAAGAAAACCACTGACCACAAAACTTGCAGGAACTCAGCCCTTCAGAATACAAGCTTAGTAGCTGCCTGTGTTTGCAACAACCCTCACTACTAGGATGCATTTTCCCCTCTCAGAGACAATCTGCAGTCAGAGCTCTGCAGCAAACACCAACACCACACCAGTGTTTCCTGGAGGTGTCAAGAGCAGACATTGTCATTTCAGTCATGTCCATGAGATGATAATTACTGCACTATAACCAAGACAGCAAGTCTAACTTTCACCAGGACTCATTCCACAGGTCCAAAGGCACTTCCACCAGCGCAAACGGGTGTTGCAGAAAGAAGCAGTTTTATCCTTTGCTGTCACCAGCCTTTAATTGCTTCTACTCATCCCTGTGGTGACAACTGTATTCATGTAAACATATGAGGAACCATATTAGGCAACTGATCCAATCTTAACTAGCCCAACCATGCTTCACCACAAAAAAAAAAAAAAAAAAAACCCAAACAAACAAAAAACCAACCAACCAACCAAACACACAAAAAAAACCAAAACCACAAAAGGCAGCTTTGGAAGCAGCCACAAACAAGTTACTGAAGGTAAGCAGGAAAATTTCCATACACAGCACCAGCAGCACACTAAATCACACAGTGGAAAGACTTAGGACAAGCCATTCATTACAGATGTTTTCCAATCCACAATAAAAAAACCAGTTATTAAACAATGGATAACTTGTTTCAGCAAAGGATGTGCTCTTGAGTTTCTGAAGAGCTTCTAAAGCTAAACATACAGTATGAACTGAATTATAAAACAGACTCCTGCAGAACAGTCTTTGAAGGAGGCATCCTAACTAGTTGAGCTCCACACTTTGTTTCATGTGCACATAATTAGCTTTTAACAGCAGCATCTATAAATCAATTCTGCATCTGACTGTATGTTTGTTGAACTATCCAAATTAAAGTCCAGTGGTTTGTGAGGAAAAAAAAGGGCTGTAGGCTAAAACGAATCTGAAAAATATAATAAGGTTGGCTCAATTTTGTTTCATTTTCCTACACTAGTTGAGATGAGTGTCACAAGCATACATTCACATTCTGTCACTTCCCCATATTCCAATTTTTGGCTAATATTTTCTTAAATAGGAATTTCACACTGACTACAAAGGGCAACTGTTTACTTAATATTGTTCTTTTTTTTAAGTAATCAGTGTGGGCTAAGCTGCTCCAGCCAATGAGCCAATGGGGCAGCATACAAAGCCAATCCAAAAGCAGAATCTTTCCAACTCTGAAAGGGTGTAGCAGGTTTTTAAGTGGAGCACAGTACATTCAAATTCAGGAGTTGCATTCCTGTAATGAAAACTGAAGACAGAGAGAAGTAAAACAGCCTTTATTAGACCAAAACCCTGCTAGATGTGATGCACTTTACATACTTCAGCAGAAAGGCTGGTTGTTTTGCTATTTGAACTGATAAATAATATCAGCTCATAAAACATTTTGAGCTACTTTTCCTATACATTTTTAATTGCCTTCTCATAGAGTCCCAATCGTTTCAGAGAGAATAGCAAAACAGGAGCAGCTATAGTTTTCCAAACCCACATGAATCTGAGTTGGTTTCTCCAAGGCTGTAGGAAGGAACGCAGCAAGAGTCTGGGGGAAGATGCTGCAGTTCTACCTCAAATTTAAAAGACTACAAGATACAGGGTAAACACTAACCCTGTAAGACTCCAATGTGGGGCCATTCCCAAAGGGTGTGCTTAAGCTGCAGGGCCCAGGAGCACTGTCTAGTTCCCTAGTCCAGCTGAATACTAGGACTACAACTTAAATGTATGTCAGGATACAAACAGGTGCATCTAGACCTTTATGTACCCAAGTGCTCCCTGTAAACTGGATACAGCCTAGTCTCACCAGAACAAAAACTTACAAGTGCCAGGAGCAAGAATGCTAGTAAATCTCTCAAGTTAAATGATCAGGACCTTGGGATAGCCACAGACTGTTTAGGGAGATAGCCCACAAACTGCCCTTGTAGTTTAGACACCACCACGACATAATGTGTCTCACTTCTTATTTCCATTAAAGAAATGCTTCAGCAAGGATGTATGCAGATAGAAATGCAATCGATGGGAAGGAGAAAAGAAAGAGGGCAAAATGCTCTTCAGTTGAAACTAAACAATCGAAACAAAAACTGACTTGAAGCCAAATCATCAAATCAAATAAAAACAAGGGGAAAATGTCACAGTTTGTTCTCGCACCGTTTGGGGAGATTCCAACTACCTTTGCTTTGTAGCTTCCTCTATTCCGAATGTCACTTACAGCTTTGGTGTATCATCCAGCTTCCTCCACTTCAAACCATATGCAAAGTCCCACAAGTCACAACAGACCGACACAAAAGACTAGAAGAAGGGCCTGTCTCTGAACACATTTTGCCCCCAACTA